ACCAACAACAACAACATCATCATCATCTTCATCATCATCACTATCATAATCTTTTTCTTCTTCTTCTTCTTCTTTTTATTCTTCTTTTGCTTCTTCTTCTTCTTCTTTTTTTTCAATAAGCTATTAAAAACAACTAAAAGATCCTCAACAACAAAAATAATGCCATCAAACGAAAAACCACACACATCAACAACAACAGAAACATCGTTATCATCATTAATATCAACAAAAAACAAGAGCAACAGCTTCATTATAATCATCCTCATCATTATAAACAACAACAACAGCATCATCACCATCAACAAAAACAACAGCCACATCATTATCATGAACAAGAGCAAACGAAAATGTTCGACAATGTTAATACAAGATTTTTAAAACCTCCTACTTGCCTTCAGTCACCTAATTAATGTAACTTCAAACATACATACATACATACATACATACATACATACATACATACATACATACATACATACATACATACATACATACATACATACATACATACATACATACATACATACATACATACATACATACATATATAAATACATACATACATACATACATACATACATACATACATACATACATACATACATACATACATACATACATACATACATAAATACAAACGAACAATGCATTTAATAGAAATGAAATATCTCTTAGAGCAATTTGTTTTATTCTTTGTACAGTTTCATACGTACTTTTCCATTAATACCTGTACCGTTGTTTAATACAAACATTTGTTGAATGTATTGCGTATTCTGTGTACCTTAATATATATATATATATATAAATATATAAATATATATATATATATATATATATATATATTTATTTATATATCATTATTTTTACTTCATTGTCTTCAACTTCTTCGTCATCATCTTCATCAGCATCCTCATCTTCATCTTCATCTTCTTCTTCTTCTTCATCATCAGAGTTGTCGTCATCATCATCATCATCGTCATCCTTCTAGTATTCACCGTCATAATTTTTGTTATCGTCGTAACCACGGTCGCACTAAATTGTAGAGAATTGTCCGCAATTAGCATGGCCAGTCATCATTCAAACCAAACAAGACAGTCGTCGACTCCATGAGGTGTGGCGTGGCGTGGTGTGGTGTGTACTTTGTAGATCCACAGGACGCTCTCACACACGACGTGTGGTTGAACGTACGTGCACAACTATTGTCGATCTATTTTTATACACACACTTTCACACACACACACAAACACACACACACTCACACACATTCACAAACACACACACACACATTCACAAATACACAAACATTAACAAACACACACACAATACACACCCCACACATACGCAGATGGATGCTTGTAAAGATTCATTTTAAAATTTTATTCAAAAGCAATTTTATCAGGAATGCTTTGAAAAAAATGTTTTAACACCGAACAGAGAGAAAGAAAGAGAGAGAAAGAGAGAGAGAGAGAGAAAGAGAGAGAGAGAGAGCAAGAGAGAGAGAGAACGTTTGCTATATATACACATCAACGCCTAGAAATACATACACATCACACTCAAAAACTCACTACACAGACACACACAGACACACACAGACACACACACACACGTTCACGCACGCACACATGCAATGAAACACGAAACCTGAAGCCCAACAAAAATTGTCTAAATACTTTCCGAGATAAACATTCAATTGTATTGTATGTGTTTTGTATGTGTTTGTATTGTATGTGTTTTGTATGTGTTTTGTATGTGTTTGTTTGTATGTGATTGTATGTAATTCGTTTATGTTTTTGTACGTTTTATATGAGTTCGTATGTCGTTTGTATGATCAAAAGCATTTTATTGGTTTGTATATGTAAGTCTTGCCAATTTTGGTATGCAGTTTGTATAATTGTATGCGTTTTTGGTATGTTTATTTGTAATTTGTACACTTATATAACCAAAGAAGACATATATGTTTACATAAGACCTTTAAATAGGTCACAATCACTCTATTTATAGTTGATCGTGACCTTATTAAGTTAACGGGCCAATGAGCGTTCGGTAATTATCCAGTGTCACCCTGTCTGCCATCATATCATATGGCAATTAAGATGAAGGATGATTGGTTGGCTGTTGTTGTTGATGATGGTGATGATGATTTTGTTGTTGTTGTTGTTGTTGTTGATGGTGATGATGATGTTGTTATTGTTGTTGATGATGGTGATGATGATGTTGTTGTCGTTGTTGAGGATAATGACGATGATGACGACGATGACGTCTACACCAAGTTTAAATGCAGTTCAAATACCTGGATTAGTTCCCTGCAGCACTGGCAACAAAAATAATAATAATTATTATTTAACCATAACAACAACAATAACAGCACCAATAATACCATCAATTACAATAATAATAAAAAGTTGGCGGTGATGATGATGATGTTCATTGTCTGCATTGAAACTAACCCATCAAATAAATTGCTCTCAACACTCAAGATTAACATTCTTCGTGCTATAATTATGACGATGACGATGATGATGATGATTACGATGGTGTCGATGGTGAAGATGACGATGATGATGGTGGTGAAAATAATGATGGTGAAGATGATGATGATGGTGACGATGATGATGACGAAGACGATGATGATGACGAAGACGATGATGATGACGAAGACGATGATGATGACGAAGACGATGATGATGACGAAGACGATGATGATGACGAAGACGATGATGGTGACAAAGATGGTGACGACGATGATGAAGATGATTGTAATAGTGACGACACAAAACCAGCAACACAACAGAAACAAATCGCAATCGCTAGAAAAAACATCATCAAGATGTCAATAACATTGCCAACGACATCCACAACAACATCATCAACAACAACAGCATCATCAGCAACAACATCGTCAACAACAACAGCATCATCAGCAACAACATCAACAGCAACAACATAATCAACAACAACATCATAAACAACAACATTATCAACAACAACAACATTATCAACAACAACAACAACAACAAGATCAACGACAACATCATCAACAACATCAACAACAACAACAAACATCAATATAAACAAACGGACACATCAACGACAACAACATCAACAACAAAAGTGACAATGACAGATAAAGATGATGAAATGACTGCGGTTTCAAATGTACTCAAGGAAATGAATGGATGGATGAATGAATGAATAAATGAATGAATGAATGCATAAATGAATGAATACATAAATGAATGAATGAATGATCGAATGAATGAATGAATGAACAACAGAATAAACATCAACATAATATACGACTAAAAAAAACACACAACGACTCAGACATAAACCTGAAAATGAACTGTTGAAAGCAATTAGCCAGTCAATCAGAATAATCCTCTTAACTATTCATCTATCCGTCCATCAATCCATCCATTTATTTAACCATTTGTCAATCCATCCATCCATCCACTCATTCATTCATTCATTCACTCACCCATCAAGCTATTTACTACTACTTCGTAACAACAAATAATTTACTAATCCAACTATATATCCATCCAACGATTTATCTATCTATTTAGCCTTCTGTCTATCCATTTGTTCATTCGTTCTTCCATTTATTTACTCATTCATTCATTCGTTCGTTTGTTTTTTATTAATTCATTTTTTCTAGTAAACTTTATTGATTCTTTCATTCATTCATCTGATTTTTATTTATTTTATAATATTGATAAAAGTATTTTATTTTAAATTCATCCTCTAGATGTCAATATGAAACGATTGTTTCGTCCGAATAAAAGATGTGTTTGAATTAATTTGTCTAACGTTTGTTCACGTTCATTCGTTTGCTCGTTCATTCGTTTGCTCGTTCGTTCGTTTGCTCGTTCGTTCG